TTTTTGTTTATTTACTCTTGAAGCTTTTCTAGCATTTCATGTAGCTCTTCATGTTGTACCCTATCAAACAGATTTTCCTTTAATTTTTGGAATATACGTTGTTTTTGCAGATTATTTGTTCCAAGTTTATTTGGCTTTATTTATTTTCTTTTTAGCAGTTTTTGGAAATTTGAAAGTAAAACAATTGACAAAAAATGAATTCATACCCTGTTCTGCTGACTCAAGTTTTTGGTTCTCCCCATCCTCCCTTGTTATCATCGAGAGATACCCAGAAATGGTCAATAGCACCAGTTGAAATAAATTTAAGTTTAACAAACAATCAGTCACCATAACAAGTGAAATAAACTGAAAGTTACAAAATACCAATTGTGATAAACAGATTTTTTGAAACCTCAATTGATAAAAATACTTAGTGACAAGATCACTGAAATACAACTTGAACATCTATAGCTTTTGGTTAAGTTCTCATTTTATTTAATGTTTCATTGAGAGAGAATGAAATATTTTCTCCTTCAAAATGTCTGAACTATCTTGGAACTCAAAGACGAGTTTCAGGAGCCGAGTGAAATCTGATACTTGGACTTCTGTGGATACCAACTTGATATGGCTTGTCCCCACAATGACCACCTCTAGTTGCTCTTTCACATTCAAAAACACACACTTGAATTTAATTGACCTAATTATGTGCCTTGCTTTCATTAGTCTATGTTTAATATTGATGTGTTAAATTGACATCTATCTTATGAAGACAACCCATACTGTTGAATATAATATATATATATATATATATATATTACCATTGCCCACTTGTTGCATGAGAAGAACCACTAAACAGTGAAGTAACTTTTGCCAACATATCAAGTGGGGGTGGTGGTCAGTGTTAAACCATTGTAACTGTAAATTGGTTGACAAGCTGAGAGACAAAAAAGGAAATATAACTTTTAGAATTCAAGGAAGAAAGAATTTATTTAGACTTTATAGGAAGATGAACTATGGCAAAAAAAAAAAAAAAAAAAATTGTAGAATGATATAAATTATTAAAAAGAATTTCTAAAAATAAATGGTCTGTCACCAGCAGAACTTGAACCCTGCTCACTGATTCTATTTTCTGCGCTGTTAACTGTTAAGTCTGGCTACACTTCCAGCTTTTACTACTTTCAAGTTAGATAATTAAAAAATAAATTTTATTTTTAATATAACGATGGTCAGTCAAAAGAATGTAGAATTCTGCTTGGGATACCAGAATCTACATTTGAGGTTCTCAGCTGGTAGAACTTAGGAATTTCTCAGAAGGAACATTTTGGTTTTAAATCATTGACATTGGCTTTACAAATGGTGACTTCCCTGCCAGCCTGCCTGTCTCATATGCACTCCTTTATCTCTCAAGAGATGTCAGGTTCCCACTGAGCATTCATTCTAATAATAACCTAGCCTCGTATTCATCAACTATTTAACCATTTTGATATTATCATACATACACACCAACCAATCAGCAGCGCCCTTTCATCAATGATCCACTCAACTAACCAATCAGAAATCTTCATTCAAACACTAAACTAGCAGCAGCTGAGCCTCATTTTCATCATCCCATCATCAAATTATTTTCAAGATTTAAAAAAATCTGACAAGCATAAAAAATTACTTATAGATTACAAACAGCAGAAATCTTCATAGTTATATTTAATAAGGGTTTTAATATATCATTTAATTTTGTAATTAATGCTAATGAGAAATTATCATTGTATATCTAATTATTTGAACAAGAATGCTCATCTTTGTTGTTATACTCACATTTCAGCCAATTCATTATCCAATTCACAAGGAATGTAGAACGAGAATAATCTACCACTGAGCATAAAATAAAAGGTCCATTTCAAAATTCTGAGAGTACAAAGGCAAGACACATGAAGAAGGCTACAGTGGTTGAAACATGAGTATAACAACCAAGATGAGCATGCTGGTCCAAATAAGGAATATAACAACATTTAATTTCAATGTAATCAAAATTTTTGTGAAATTTTTTCTCAATGGCTTGTATGATATCCACTTATATACGTTACTATAGTAATATACAAAGTATTTGCATAATTTATCCTAACATAAAAGACTCATTAATTTTTGATGGGTAGTATAATTCCTTAGTAAAGATTAAAAATAAATTTATCCTAATTTTGACTTAATTTCTATTAATATTTGCTTTATACAAAAACATCTTACTTGAGAGAAGAGATGGATTCATCCCTCCCCTAGAGTATTTGCACATAAGTAAATGTAATGAACTCAACTGAATTTCAAACTTGGCTCTCCAAATCCTCATCCTAAGCTGCTATTCATTGTATCACCTTATGTCCATGATTTTCATCAGGGGAAAAAAGTGACATTGGTAGGCCCTGAATCCTTTTCTAATCATTATTTGGAAGCTGACTACCAAGCCACATCTCATCTGCCTCCATCACAAGGGTGAAGCTGTTGAAGGGTTGTCATGAAGGTGAGTAAGTCCTATCTACCCCAATTTTGAAATTGCGATCATTCTCCCAGACAGACTGCCAACTAAGGTTAACAAGCTCTGTCTATATAGATCAACATTATATATATACTGATAATTCAATGTCTTTCCCAAAGGTTCAGGGAATTTGAACAAATATCATAATTTTTGAGAAGCATCATCATCATTATTATTATTATATGCTTTGCATGCTCAAACTGGTTGTTCTACTTACGTTTTAGCCATTATTTCCTTGGACTTCTTCAGGTGTTTGTCTTATTCACATTTGTGTCACTTGTCAGGCATCTTCTACTGGATCAGAGTATGTGAATTTTCAACACCACCAAACCCAGAGATTGAACTCATATCTGCCAGGGAACAAGATATGTTTTAACAAACACTTTGATCCACAAGGCCATGAGGATCAGAGACATGTGATTCAGTGCTAGAAACAGACAAGTGACTCAAAGATAAATAAAACTGCCGAGTATTATCTGATAGGGGTTATCTCCCCTAAACATGGAAAGCGAAATGAGTACAATATATATCTGTGAATTGAATAGAATAAAATAAAGGGTGCAGGTTAAAATTCTGGTAAGTTTTTCAAGTACAATGACAAATTCCTGAAAAAAGCTGGAAAGTACAATGACTAGAACATGATGAGTATAATAATCAAGATGAACATGCTGGTCTGAAAAGGAAAGCACATAAGACAGGATGTGCGAGTGGTGTAATGGATAGAGACTATGAAAGAGAACTGAGATCGAATGGGCCTGTTATATTTACTCATGAGCAAATATTCCTTGGTAAAAGTAGGAATCCATCTCCTCACTCTACCCCAGCTATGAACCAAAAAATAGGAGTTCTTTCTGTAAAAATCATTCTAATTCACACATAAAAAGTTCCGGCTTTAAATAACCTACAAAGAGTTAAATTGAAAAAAAAGAAAAAAAAAAGACACCTGAAAAAAGCCAGAGAATACAATAGTTGAAATGTTGTGAGCATAGTAAACAAGACCTGAAGAAATTACCGAGCCACCTAGTTTCACATACGTTTTGTCAGACATTTTGTAGATCACCTGAACCACCAGGAAATACATACATATATATATTAAAAAAATTTTTTCCTATTAATTCTTTCTTTCATGAAAGTAATTTCATACCTCAAGTTCACATGAAGTTTTAGATAACTCCTTGCGCATCAACTGTAAATTTCAAAACAATAAGATTTCTTCTTGCTGAATAAAGAATATGCTTGTAAAATCTGAAGTCACTACAGTGTATGAAAATCAACTAAGTGAAAAACAAGTAAAAAGTTCTTTTACACCAATGCGTATAGGCCAAAAGAAGAAAGAACAGGATTCTCTAGAGACTGAATAGCATCACTGTAAAGCTAATATTAGTCGCAAATAGCCTCTGACAACTCCACACCAGAGAAGGGGCAGATAGACCACTGGCCATAACCAGCTGCTGCTTTGGGTAGATGGAGATTGTTAGCCTGGAAATGTAGTCTATCTAGGGGAAGGAAAATCCTGACCTTAAACATCTGCTGCCTTGTTGCCATATCTAAATACGGAAAAGGATATGGAAGTAAATCCAGACAGAAAATCCCAAGTGGAACCACCAAAGGCAGTTGGCTGTCAACCCTGACAACTTTCCAGTATCCCTGAAGTCAAGATGGCCCCATATGTAATGGCTGTATTCTTTTGGATCATGTTGGCATGACTGAGAAGGAAGTCATGTGGTTTTGGGCAAGCACATGGCATCTATATGCTATCACCCAGGTCTGAGCCATGGAGAGGTCACTCCAATCTCACCATCAAAGGATTGAATTTTGACCAACAGAACACTATCTTACAAAATAAATGGATGTCTATTACATGTGTATAGAAAACAAAATGAGGCCAAAGCATGAATTTATCAGTGCTTTTTCTTCTGCTAAACAGTTCATCAACAACTATCAGGTCATTTAAGGCCAGATAAAGGTTTTGATTTGCAGTTGTTTGGGGTATAGTTTGATGACATATGTGGATCAGTGATAGTTTTAGGTACAGGTTTAAAAAAAAAAAAAAAAAAAGAAACAGTTATTATAGCTGCTGGTTTCTCATACAAGTTATTTTGTATTCAGTTTCTGATACAATTTGGTTATTAGAGTTTACACTAATTTTAAGGTCTGAAGGATTTTCTCTCCCTTTTTTCCAGTTTTCAAAATGTATTAAAAGTTTTAATGGTACGTGACACTTAATATTGATTCATTCATTTTCTATGGTTTATCAACCCTTTGCAAGTTATTTAAAACCAGAAATTAATTTTGGATATTAAGAATTTGAGAGGAGGGGGGGAGATAACAATGATTTAGTCATTCACGTCTTACTAATTAATTAATCCATAGTCGGGGGGGGGGAGAGAGAGAGAGAGAAGGTGTGGATTCATGCCTTTCCCAAAGGTATTTGCATGTAAGTGAATATAACAAACTCAATTGGCATTCTCTGATTAATAATTTCCACAGATCCAAGTTTACAGCACCCAGTGTTCCCAAGTGGTCACCCATCAAGGTACTGACCAGGCTCGACATTGCTTAGCTGCGGTGATCGTACAGTAACCAGTGCTTCAATGTGGTCATAAGCCAAGATGCTTAATAGATAAAATAGTGAAAACAATAATGTAAATGTTTATTAGTGTTGTTAAGTGAAGTAAACAAAAAAGAAATTTTTTTAAGTCAGTATTTTGACATTTTCTGACATGACATTTAAATGAAAAGACTATAGAAGAGAAAGTACATTAAAAGGGAAGGACACAAGTAATGATCTACATTTACCCGGGTTTTTAGAAAGACTAAAAAAAAAAATCTGCTGAATAAGCAGACTGGGAATATTTGTTTATACAATTTTATTTTATATTTATTATTATTATAATAACAAAGAAAATTGGTAGGACATTAAGTTAGATTTTGTAAAGCATTAGAAGAGAAAACACTGTGTGTGGAGATATCATATAATTCTAGGTGTTCCTCTCTTTGCATGTTTGTTATACTCAAATCAATAATAGATCATTCCTCTTTGATTGTGAGCAAAGACAGAAGGTGGCATATTGGAGACACTGTATCAGAGAGATCTCTATTCTTCAATACAAAATCCAATGTTTAGTAATAGTATTTATAAGTATGACTTATCTCTTTAGAATTAGAAAAAGATTCTTGAAATTTCTGGAACACATATTGAAGGAAAGAGGGCTACTTTTTTTTGTCTCAATCTCTTGGTTTGTTCAAATTAATTTGGTTTAGCAAAAACTGAATTATATTTATGTACAGCCAAATAAAAGGGATACCTAAGGTTTAGGATTCATTCTTAAAAATAAAAAATATTGAAGATTTTATTTTAGTTTTTATTTCAAGCTAATAGATTAAAATTAATATTACCAATAAGCAAAATACTTTGCTGTATTTCGAACTGAATTAAAACTGATTGGAATGAGTTTTTTTTTTTTTTTATTATCAGTAAAAACACTAAAATCGACCATATTGACAAATGTCAGCACAATGTAATTCTCTTTAATAAAAATCTTTCAAAAAATAATATATACTTTTCTGAAACTTTGAGGAAGATTATCCGATGTAAAGTTTAATTAATCCAATTTGAAGCAAATATCACTTTTAGTTTAAAATATTGCAGAAAAGCATCTTTAATAAGGTGCATGGTTTTATGAGGTGTTGACAACTCTCTCAATAAACTTGTTTTAAAGGCGACATAACAATTACTTGAATATAATGTGAATGCCTTTTTTATATAATTTTTTTTTAACTAGCCAGTAGTCTTAAAAATTTAGGAAAACATTTTAAGCAATCTATCTTATTGAATTTTAAATAGTTTGGTTTTATAGTCTTACTTCTGAAGACACTTGTTATAAAATTACCAATAAATTGTTACTAGAGTTACCGCACTTATCTTCTGATAATGTCGCATTTAGACATTCGTATTTACAAATATCAACACGTTTATACATACATAAAATAAATTCAAAATTATTTTTAGAATATTGGAGGTCACTGAATTGTAGTGAGCCTTTCCATTTATGATTAGTAAATAGTCTTAATTTAATATCAGTTGGCTGCTGCAAACGAATACAGAATTTATTTATATATATATATATATATATATATATATCATAAGAGGGGCACCTTGAGGTGGTGTAATAAAGTATTGTAATTAAAATCAAAACAATTGTAAAAATTCATTATTCATCATTTTTTTTTCATTAAGAGTAAAACAATAATGTTCATAACTTATACATAAAAACTTCTCTAATTAAATATCTTAGTTTTATTGCATTTTTTTTATTTTACGATTCAGAGCAGATTTTCTGTTTGACCTTCAAAATTTTAAGACTTAATCATTTTTTTCTTCAAAACTTTAAGAATGAAACATTTCAAAAATCAATTTCATTCATTTGTGAAGAAGTCTATAAACTTTCATTAATCCAACAATTATCTCATTTTTGCAAGAATTTCCAAATCAGTGTTTTGCACTACAAAAGGACCCGAAATTTTCACTTAATTTATGGTATAACGTTGACACCAAAGAAATAAGATAGATTAAATAAATTTACGAAGATTCTAAAAAGGGTTAAAATTTTTACATAAAAAAAAAAACAAAACCTTTGATCTTTCCGCTTAATAATAACAAGGAGCTTTGTTTTTTATTAAGTTTTGGGCATTTTTTAAAATTTTATGTATGTTCATTTGTTAACGAATCTTTGGAAATTTCAGAATAAAGGGCCTGAGAATGGAGTGGCTGAAACTGAAAGACAGAAAGAGTGAAGGATTTTTTTGTTGGGGGAGGGGAGAGAGAAAAAATAAGCTAAACAAACTTAAATTCTTTTCTTAAAAATAAATAGAAGTAAATAGAAGAATCTGGTCAAAGTCTCATAGTCGTGCATCCATGCGAAAAAATGTGTCAATGGAAAAAAAAAGGGGGGGGTATTTTTTTTATTTTTTTATTTAAAGAAAGATAAACGGTTTAAAAAAAAGAAATAAAATAATTTCTCTTGAATCAAACAAACAAAATTATTCATATTAGAAAAAAAATCTTTAAAAAGAAAAGTAAGTAAGAAAATACTGAAAAAGAAAAATTCATAAAATTATTTTCCATAGCACAAGGTAAAAAAATATTCATATTTAAAAAGTGAATATTCATTATTTAAAAAAAAAAATTATGAACCAGTATTTGAGAAATAAAATATATATTTTTTTAATTTAAATCCCATTCTGTGAACTGCAAATTAAATCTTAAAATTTAAATTTAGAAATAAATACACAATAAAAACTAAAAGATCGATGGCGGAAGGGTTTTACTTTTAATCACTGATCATTTAACAAACATAATTAAAAATATTCCTTTTTAAATGAATTTGAATTATTTTTTTAATTATTTTATTTTAAAGGCAACAAAAACAAGTATCAATTACGGTTCAAAACAGTTAGTTAAAGTCACTGGAATTTTCCCTCTTTTTTTTACCCCCTCGTCCTAAAAATTACTTCAAACTTAAATTCGGGAGAGAAAACAAAAACAAATGGATTAAAACAAAAACAGAAAATATAGTTTCCTACATTTTTCTGACCAAAAGGAACACAATTAGAAAACAAAAAAAAATAAAAAATAATTTTAAAAAGGCAGAAAGAGAAATTGGAGGGGGAAAAGTTAGTTTTCGATGCGATTATAAAATTAAGAAAACAGTTAAACTTTAAAGCATCTTTTCACTAAATTAATAAATTAGGTTCTTGCTTAAAAAACGTAATCAAAAAAAAAAAAATTCACAAGAGAAAAAAAAGAAAGAAAATAAGGCGATCGAAGGAAAAAGAAAAATCGTGGAGGGAATAAGATTGGCGGTAAAAATATCATTTCTCCAAGAGATCGATACAGTATTTTTACGAAAAGGTTGCTTTTTATTTTTTTTATTCTATTTTAAACAATTAGACGTTTTATTAAATTTTATACAGCACACAATCAACTTTGTTAATTACTTAAAATACGCTTAATAAAATTGAATTTCGACGATCAAACTTAGTTGTTTTTATTTACCCTATTTTTCAATAAGAGGAAGCAAGAGACTTACTTCTAAATATAGAGACTATAAAAACTATTTAATTAAAACTAGTAAAACTATTTTTAATTAGTAAAATTCCTATTTTCAGCAAATTAATATTTTCAATTGATTTATTAAAAATTAAAGTTTAAAAATTAAAAAAATAACTTTTTTTGTAAAATGTTTCTTTTTTACTTATCGAAGTTTCTCATCATTCACAATCTTTCAAAAAAAAAATATGAAAAAGAAAAGAAAAGTTAAAAATAGATAATTTCCTTCGACATTTAAAAGTAAAACAAAGATTTTTTCCAAGAAATCCGATTCCAAAATTAAAACAATAATCAATTTATAAACAGCTTTTTTTTTCTTTTTTTTTTTAGTTAAACACCCTAAATCTACTAATTTAATGATAGTTGTAAAAGATAACTTAATTGAAAAAATAAATCTCATTTCGTATTTAGATATTTTTCAAAAATGTTTGTAGTGAGTAAAAATTAAACATACTTTTTTTCACTTATTTTTGAATTAACAGTCAAGGTGAAAGCTGAGAATTATTTCTTTATTGAATAATCAAAAAAATAGGATAATCGTCGAAGAAGACATCAGAGGAACACAAAACAATCCTCAATACAAACCTGTTCGGAGCATTTTCCTTTTCTTGATCAGTATTCTTTGATTTGTGGCTTTCTTTTTGATTTACCATCTTTTGATTTTAGCGCCAACCTCAAGCCGCTACTACTGTGCAATGAACTTAAACACGAGCATGCGCACTCTGGCAGGAAGTAGATACAATCTCGTGTAAGAAAAGAATTACGGCTAAGCAAAAGTACGATAGAACATAAGGGAAATAAAACAAAACTTTCCAACAATGAATTAAAAATATTTTTCAAATTCTGAAATGTCTCTTAAAAGCATTCTTATCTCTATTGATCATTCATTCTTATGTAAGATTAATTTATATTGTTACACAGTCTGAAACGTGTTTGGACACATCACTAGTCGCTGTAAAAATGATGAAAAACTAAACTACCTATGAGTACTTCTGTTTATTGTTTGAGTGTAAGTGGTGTCTAACTTAGTATTTAATTTGTAAATTGGTTTTATCGTCTTGTTCAAATAGCTGAACGTTAGCGAATATCACTTGGTTGTTAAATTCTGGATAGGACTTTTGATTTAAAGCAGGATTCACTTATTGATTTTATAATTTTCTTTTATGTTTGCTTTGCTTAACGTAACCGAAATAAAATTACAAAATAAAGTGTGGGCGTGTGTGTATATTAACAAATTTGCACATTAATGTGTGTTGCAAATAAAATTTAAAATATCGTGGTCACTTTAAAAATAGGATTTTTTTAAAATGTTGTATGATTTCTACTGCGTTTTGAGCAGCAAGGCTCACAAAATTTGGAGATTAAGACGATATACTTCAAGCAAGATTATAAAACCGGTTAACTTTTAAGCTCCAGTAGATTTGAAAAGTAGGCAGCAAATGTTCAGTTCAGTCAGTCAGTCAAAAAAAAAAAAAAAAGTTACAATACAACACCAACACCTTGTAAATATAATAATAATACCCAGTAAAACAAATTGTAAAGAACGGTTTACAAAAGGAATAAGGTAAAAAAAAAAAAAAAAAGAAAACTTTTTCTTTACCAACGCGTTTCGTCCTCTGATGGACTTTTTATCAATGGAGATCAAGCGACAAGGCACACCATAGAAATGTCGTGAGAGTTAAAACCAAAACAATTTTATTAATATTTTTTTTAAAAAGTTATACTTTGAAGGTATATAAAATGTGAATGTTAGTTTGTGTGTGATTTGATGTGAGTTGTCGAAGTTCGTGGCAGAGAATCCGTTTGTCTTCAGAGTCTTCATTCTTCAACGTAGAGCGTTGTTTCGATAACAGTAAAATGACAATCTGGTTGTCAAGGCTTCATTGAGAAGTAGGTTTTTTTGCGAACTCTACAGTCACTCAGGATTTCAGATGTTTTTTATTTGGGGGCGGGGAGTAAGCATCTCCCACCCCCGGTGTCGCGTCTTCCACTCCTGTTGGTGGTCGTATTGCAAGGATTTTTATAGCCAAAGGTCGGCTCCTATTTTTACCCGAAAAATTTTGGTGGTCAACACCTTGTTACAACACTAGATATTAAGGGAGTTCAATATTGCGTGGACTTTCGAAAATTAAATCATAAATGCATCCACCGTCCCTGATTGTTATCCAGTTCTTCATATACATGACTTCGCAATCGGGTTACGACGCGGATCACATATATTCTCAAAGATTGATCTAGCGAAAGGAAAGCTTATTTTCAGATCTCGGCAGAGGAAGATATTCGGTGACATCTCCGTTCGGGCAATACGAATTCGTACGAATGTTATTTGGTCTTAGGAACACCGCCCAAACATTTCAAAGACTAATTGACCAAGTCCTGAGAGGATTACAATTTGTATATGCTTATTGACAATATCCTCATTGCCAGCAAAAATATTGAAGAAGACAAAGGCCACTCGCATCAAGTCTTTCAGACGCTATCAATTTGGATTTAAAATCAATTTAGATAAGTATACTTTTGGCATTACTCAGGTTAAATTTTTTGGACACTTCATAGATCAAATAGGATTTCATCCTTACCGGGAAAAGTGGAAGATAAAAATTTCTCTGTACCTACATCCATGTTTATCGGACATAAATTATTATCGTTATTTCATCCCTAATCTACTATTAACAAATCTATCACGGCGATAAGAGCTTTAACTGAACAGGATATCGATTCGGAAAGAAAACCTATTTACTTTTTCTCAGCGAAATTAACCAAGAATCAAAAGACTTAAATTAAACAATTTTTAGACATATACTCGAAGGTAGAAACTTTGTAATATACACGGATCACAATCGTGCCATGAACTGCAGTGCAAATACACCCTAGAGAAGTTTATTAATAATTGGATTTTATCTCTCAGTACACAACAGATATTCGTTATATTAAGGTACAACAAAATATTAAAGCTGATGCACTGTCACGTGCAGATATGACAATAATCACCGATGATATATTAAAATCATAATTTAATTTCTGATGAACAGAAGTCAGACTCCAAACTAACAGAAATATTATCAAACACCTCTTTATGGCTGAAACAATTTCCAGTTCATTTCAGCAATAAAATACTTTATTGTGACACTGCAATAGCCAACACTAAATCATACATCCTCTTACACTGAGGAAAAAATATTCCAACACTTACATAATCTTTCACACCCAAGCAAGCGATCTGCTGTAAAAACCTAAGTGAACGTTTCGTTTGACAAACATAGTATCAGACATTAGAATTTTTTAGCGAATCAGTAAAGTATTTTGTTTAATGGAAATGTGAAATTTAATCTATTAACTTGAAATTAAAACTAAAATAAAATCTTCAAGAAAGATTTTTCATTTTTAAAAATTAATTTTAAACCTTAGGTATGACGAATCTGTGGAGGTGTATTGAGTCCCGAAAAAATAAAAATAAAATATATAAAAAAAAAAATAAATAAATATTGATATATAAAAAAAAAAAATTAAAATTAAAATAAGGTATTTGCGCTTTCCTTTAAAACACCTATCTCTTTCTTTCTTGTTCTCAAAATTTCACTCTATATACTTCTCTCTCCACTAATGAGAAACCAACCCTCAAATAAAAAAAGGGGAAGAAGAAAAAATTGAACCCGGTCACAAAACATAAGTTTGCTGGATCAGAGTTTAGCCATTTGTGACTAAAAACTACCAAAAAACAGTGAGGCTTCACGCATAACTTCCGATATATATATATATATATATATATATATATATATAAAAACCCGAAAAAGAAAGGAAAATAAAATAATTTTGACCAATCAAAAAAAAATGAACACAAAGAGACTTTTGATGCTAGTCGAAACCAAGGTACACGCCAGTAGTCTGGGAGCTTAGTCAAAAGGATTTAAGCTGACAAGACCAGACAACTTTTCGAACCGCAAGAGAAACCGGAATAAGAGAAAGTACAGCCAGAGAAACCAGACCTGCGTGAAGAAGTTAATCGCTCATCTGCTTAAGAGATTTTTTCCGCTATTCTTAGATCCAAAAAAGACAGCAGATTGACGCCGACCTATTCCCAAGATGACTACTATTGCTACTACTACTATAACCAAGTTCAGAATACGAAACTACCCACGACCGAACCGAAACGGACTTTCTCCAGACTGCTACCAAGACTTCGTTGAGGAGTAGGTTTCGCGACTGTTTCTTAGGGTCTACACTCAGGGTTATAAACGAACTTTTGTTACACCGAATAACTAATTTAAATCAAATAAATAAATATATATTATTTATTTTATAACTCTTATAGTCAGTTCGTTTTATTTCCAAAGTTCCGATAAAATAATACTAAGTCTCTCTGGCAAGTCTGCTCACTGATGACCTTCCGACGTGAACACATTTCCACAGAGGTACATAGTTTTATTGTATTTTTTATTTTATGATTCAGAACAGATTTTCGGTAACTAGGCTCCCGTTTTACCAAAAGAAATTGAGGATTTAAATTCTCCACGGAGTTCTGTTTTTAACTAATATAAACATTAAGCTTTACAAAACTTGATTTATCGAAATTTCATAAAGTTAAATAAGTGGGGGAGCAGTAACAAATGTAAAAAGATATATTTTTAGCAAGATTTTCTAAAGAAAAGACATTTCTAAAATAATTTTATTCATTTGAGAATAGATCCTGAAAAACAAAATTTTTAACCAAAATTTCGTACGCTCTAAAATGGATGAAAAATATGACAAAATCCTTTGGTCTTTCCTCTTATTAATAACATAAATATATTGACGATAAAACTATGTTTCTGTTAAGTCTGGGGCATGTTTTTCATCATGGTATGCTCATTTTTAGCGAATCTGTGGAGGTAGCTACTTTTTATATAAATATTATTTTATTCAAATTTAAACTCTCTGTAGAAAAATAAATGCTAACTAGCATCCAAAAGAAAAAACAAAAAACAGTTACTTTTATATATCAAATGTTTTTAAAGCAAAGTTTCTATGGAAGAGTTTGATCCGAGGTGAAAGTTGGTTGGAGTAAAGAAACAAATTAGACACTGGTTTGGAGAAATGGCCAAAGATTTATTTTCATTTACAAGAAATGAAAATGTCTTTGGTAAGTCGTATAGTCTAACGTTCGAATGTACGGTGTACGAGTTGTAAAATGAGAGCGTGAAAAAGGAGTATGCTTAACCCGGCTGACTGCTTGTTGGCTATCGGGTTAGGCTTGTCGCGTTGATAGTAGAATTCGTTCTCTTCCTGTGTCCACAGGAGGTCGTTTTCACAGCCTAATGGTCGGACAGGTAGTCAACCGTGCTCTCGGGTAGCCTCTATGGCTAGCGTGCGTGTGTGAAGTTTCTCTCTCTCTCTCTCTCTCTGGTCTCTCTCTGTCCTGTCCGGCTTCTTTTATAGTCTATATAAGGGAAATGCATGGACGTAGTTGTAGACATCTGTGGCAAGTGAGAGTCGCTTCGATAATGGCCAGCACTCTGGTATATTTGTATTTGTTTTAAAATTTGTTTTGAGTCGACTGCGGCGTGTATGTGACAGCTAGACGAAAATTGCTGTGTAGTTAGAGATATATATTTTCTAATAGTTGCATAAATTTGTCTTTAATTTGTTATATCTATGTGCAAATTGTGTTTTTCTG